CAAATAAAACAACAAAATTCACATTTTTTAAAAAAAATAAAAACAACAGACAGCAGCAGCAGCAGCAGCAGCTGCAGCAGCAGCAGCAGCAGCAGCAGCAGCAGCAGCAGCAGCAGCAGCAGCAGCAGCAAAGCATAGTAAGCACATCTCTGCTTCAGCTGCCAGCACCCCCACAACCTTCTCTCAGCAGCAGCAGCAGCAGCAGCAAATACCTCATCAGCAACAGCAGCAGCAGCAGCAGCAACAGCAGCAGCAGCAGCAGCAGCAGCAGGAGTATGATGAGTATATCGTTGATAGAATCAGCAGCAGGAGACATGGTGATAAAAGAAAAAAAAATAAAAAAGAAAAAAAACACAAAAAAAAAACTAACAATTACATTTATTGTTGTTGCTGTTTTTTCTGTTTTAGTTTTACTAAGCGGGCCGACGATGGGGGTTTGGTTTCTGGGTTTGCTGCTAGCAGCAAGTATAATAGGTGGTGTGCTGCTGCTGCTGCTGCAGTTGCTGCGAAAAAATCCTGCTGCTGCTGCTGCTGATGATGATGATGATGCTGCTGCTGCTGCTGCTGCAGCAGCAGCAGATGATGATGATGATGCTGCTGCTGCAGCAGCAGATGAAGACACACCACTCTTGCAGGATGATTACGATGATTAAACTCTCCTGCTGCTGCTGCTGCTGCTGCTGCTGCTGCTGCTAGTGCTGCAGCAGCAGGAGATGCAGCAGCAGCAGCAGAAAATGCAGCAGCAGCAGCAGATGCAGCAGCAGCAGCAGCACATGCAGCAGCAGCAGCAGATGCAGCAGCAGCAGCAGCACATGCAGCAGCAGCAGCAGCAGATGCAGCAGCAGCAGCAGCAAATGCAGCAGCAGCAGCAAATGCAGCAGCAGCAGCAGATGCAGCAGCAGCAGCAGCAAATGCAGCAGCAGCAGCAGATGCAGCAGCAGCAGCAGCACATGCAGCAGCAGCAGCAGTAAATGCAGCAGCAGCAGCAGATGCAGCAGCAGCAGATGCAGCAGCAGCAGCAGATGCAGAAGCAGCAGGAGCTCCAGCAGCAGCAGCAGCAATAAGTGTCTGCAGCAGCAACACCTGCTGCTGCTGCTGCTGCTGCTGCTGCTGCTGCTGCTGCAGCAGCAGCAGGAGCCGCTGCTGCTGCAGCAAGAGCAGTATTTTTTTTTGTATGATGAAAATAAAAAC